GGCTCAGTGATGCATTCTCAGAGCTTTCAAACATCAGTAAGCATGTGGCAACTTTGCCTTTGCCTAAGCCTTTGCATTTCCCCTGGAAACAACTCCAAAGCATACCACAATCAAATAAACCAGCACTTACACTACCATAGTTCCTCTTCTCTTTCCAACTGAACCACATCTTCCTTGCCCTGCGTTGCCACTTTTACTTTTCTGAAGTGACACGAATCCCCAGAACAATCTGCTGAGGCAAGACACTGTACATAACTTCTCTAACCCAGGTCCTTGCACCAAGGATGCTTTTCCTACAACCAATCAAATTAGTGGACACTGACCATGCCAAAGTCATCCACAGGGCCACTTGAATAAATACTAATCATCTTTCCTAAATCATTTTCAAAAGGAATGATGTACTTTCTAAAGATTGAATTCATTCAACACCTAATATGTAAACGGCACCAAGGGTGCTGCAAAATGTTAAAATTAAATGAAAAACACAGCACTGTGGAGAACTCTGCACTTGCAAACAGGCAGCAGTGTGCACAGGTGGCGCCCTCGTCGCTGCCCACCCCACCAACTTCCTGAAGTAAACTAAATCAGTTAAAACAAAGAGGAGGAAAAGGAATAGTGTATTTATATGAAAAGCCATAATCACGGACCAAACGCAGAGAAAGTCAAATGCACAGAAGCCTCAATAAAGTGACGTAACAACTCAGATAAGCTCTGATGGACACGTGGATGCATGGGTGGATGCATGGGTGGATGCATGGGTTTATCAACAGGATCTCATCATGAAGCAAGGGTGGCCTGGAGCTTGCCATGCAACCTAGCTGGATTTGAACTCAAGATCCTCTTGACTCAGCTTTCTCGGTGTTAGGATTACAAGCACACATCACCATGTCTAATGCAGATACATCTTTATTGGCATAAAGGAATGCAACTGAGTTTTGTCCACGACTCACATTCTGAAACCTTCATCCAGTTCTGAAACCCTTTTTGTGGAATCTTCAGAGTTTATTCTTTTCATACGTAAGTCATCTACAGAAATTATTAACTCCTTTTCCATCTGTATGCCTTTCATGCCTTTTCACGTCTAACTGCTCATTAGCCCTTAGTGTGATCACAAGCAGAAGTGGCAAGAGCGGCTGCTCCCGCCCTGCATCATCACAGAGGCAATGCATTCAGCTGGGGGAGCTTTAACTCTGCTCTTAGTTTACGGAGGAGGCATCAGCTCTGCCCACCAGAGCTACCAGCCAATAGCTTTCTCAGGGTCTCTGGTTTGGTACCGGGCTGGGAACACTTCCTGGAAGCATTTGTTGTCTGGGTTTTAATCTTTTAACATTTACTTACGTGTGTATCTATTAGAGTTGTTGAGGCAGGTTCTCGCTCTGCAGCGCAGGCTGGCTTCACACTCACAGCAATTCTCTTTCTTTTTAATTACTACTCCAGCGAACTTGTCTGGTCAGGTCTTATATTTCTTCCAGATTCAATCTCAGTGGGTATGTGTTTACTGAAATGTATCCATCCCCCAGAGGCTAAGGTTTTGGCACGTAATTCTTCATAATAGCCTCTGTGATCCTTTCCATTCTGAGGTACTCATTACAATACCTGTGCTTTCCTTTCTGGTTTTATTTCGCTTCAAGTTTTCTCTCTTAGTCTAGCTAAGACTCTGTCAACTTTCTTCATTATATGAAAGAAAACCCTTCATTTTGTTGACTTACTGTATAGCTTTTTGACTTGGTTTAATCATACTTACCTCCTTTCTTCACTCTTTTCTTAACCCTGGTCTTTTTTCTTAACTCCGCTCTTTTTTCAGTTTCCTGCTGTGTATTAGACTGCTCGCCATCTTCTTTAATACAAGCATTTACAGCTTTGTGTGTCCTCCTCAGAACCACCTATGCTACAACCTGTGGGCCGGTGAACACTCCTCCTATTCTCGTTGGCTTAAGATGTTTAGTTTCCATTTTGAGTTCTTCACTGACCCACTGCTTGCTTGAGGTGTCCTGTTGAATTTCTGTATATTTAGATATTTCCACTTTTCCCTCTGCCACTGCTTTCTAGTTTCACATCATCATGGTGACAAAGATAGGAGATGGTGGTCACTTCCTCAATTTGCTAAGATTTGTCTCATGGCTTACCATGGGGTCTATGCTAGAAAATGATCTGTGCACACGAGAAGAATGCACACCACGTGGTCGCTGGGTAGAACATTTTGTAGGGTGTCAGGTTCATGTGGACAGTGTCCACTTCAAGTCCAGGCTTCTTCACTGCACTTCCATCTGGACGACGTGCCCACTGTTGAAAGAGAGGTGCTGAAATCGCCACTGTTCCTGTACTGTTTCTCCACGGCCCTTCCAGCCTGTTAACTTTTATATAGTTAGGAGCGCTGACACTGGGCACATACACATTTACCACTGTTGTGCCCTTGTCACGAACTGACCCTGGGAAACTTTTCCTGAGCTTGATTCTTCCATCCTTTGTAGTATGTAGCCTCTATAGCCAGAGCTTACATCTACCAAAAAGATCCTCCTTCCCAACACTGCTCAGTGTTTCCAGCGTAGCTCAGAAACTTTGTTTCCAAGAACCGGGCTTCTCAGCAACATGAATAGAATCTTAAAAATTAAACGTGCCTAATTGTAATCTTTGTATTCAGAATGAAATGCTAGGTGTCTAACTGCTGAGTTTCTGAGGCCCCCTAGTGCTCAGGACACACAGTTCGGCAATCCAGACACTGGCACTTCGGAGCACCTGCAGGCTGTTATATTAACTGTGGAATTAACTGGTAGCCCACTTTAAAGGGAAATCCCTTGGGGGCATCAATTACATGGATGAAATGAAAAGGATCTGTAACACTGCAACTTGAATGATGTTAAGCCAACTTTCAGAAGACAAATAAAGGCCTAGAATATCCTAAGCAATATTTAAAAATACGGTGTTCTAAAAGTACGGTAACAATGTTCTTTGTCTTAGTCCTCATCACGGTTGAAGCACCATAAACAATCAAAGTGATGTTGGATGTGCTGGTTCACCCGCAATCCCAATACTCAGGACGCTGATGTACGGTGAGCTTGCTTCAGAGCCAGCCTCAGATACACAGTGTGACCCCACCAAGATCCAACCTCAGTGTGGCACATTACACTCAAAACAGTGCAAGCTTTGGATGACAACACGGTACGATCCTGTTGTTTGTTTATCGATTTATTTATTTATTACTTATTTAATCTGTATGGGTATCTTATCTGTAAGTATGTCTGTGTAGCACATGCATGCCTGGTACACAGGAGGCCAGAAGAGGCCATCGGATCATTTGTGACTGGTTGTGAGCTACCATGTGGTGCCGGGATTATAGGCGTGTAGTCACACCCGGTTAATCTGTGGCATTTCTATCCCTTAATAGTGCCAGGAAGAAACCTCTTGTATGTCCCTTTTCTCTTTTTCTCCCCTTAACACAGGAGAGACTTCTCTCATTCCAAAGGTTAGTAACAGGGACTCTGTGCACCCTGCTCAGGCTCTCCCTGGCTTCCTACTGATGACAATCCCAAGACAGGGTCTCATACATTGGTCCTAAACTCTCAGTTCTCCTGCCTTAGCTGCCCGGGGACTTTGATTATGAGTATGTGCCATCACGCCTGGCTAGACAACCTCCCTTCCCCAGCACACTTAACAGCCTGGTATTACAGGGTGAGGACCACAGTTGCTCAGATGTCTGCCTGTGAGTTGGGTGGGGAACAGTCCACCACAGTCTCCAATACTGGGTGTAAACTGACATTTATTCCCCCAGTCTAAATTGCACCTAAATTGCATAATTCAGAGAAGGAAAAAGCAGAATCAATTTATTATCCCAACAATAAAAATTAGACAAGATTTAGGGTTATTTCTTTAATAACACAAGTCCCCTTTTCTGTGCCTCCTGTGAAAGGAAAAGGAACTGAGCACTGAGTGTCGGTCCAGTGTACTGTACAGTGACAAAACCATATCCAAAGAGAAAGAAAGCGATGGCAGCTTATGCTGCTGGCCACTTACTGTCTTACACGTTATTTTAGGCAAATGCGCCTATTTTCAAGTGAGAAAAAATGTATCTGGACATACAGTAAGTCTTTATGTCACTCATCAAATCAAAGCTAAGGCAGGGTCAGATACTGAAGGAAGCTTTCCTCCTTGCTGCCAAATGTTATACAAGGTTTAATGCATGGGAGGTTAAAGCTTTGCTAGAGTTCAAAACCACTTCTGGAGATCCTTCAGACTAAGCATACTGTAGATATATTCTAAATTATACCACGAGGCTGTATAGAACCCATGGCAATTTGTGAATAAATATTTGCCTTTGGATTGGCTTGTAAATAATTTTGTTATAGCGAAATTCTGTGTTTTTTTTAACTAGATATCTGATGCATGCACACAAGCATGCACACATACATGCACACACACACACACACACACACACACACACACCCCCATACACGTAAACTTGACATGATAAAAAAAACATTCTGATTTTAATTCATGCTCACAAATCACATTCGCTACCACTGACAGTGGTCCCAGAACATACAATCCAGTTAAAACAATTCATTAGAGTCTACACATAAGAGTCTACTCATCAGACTCTGCCAGCAGTGGTGGTGTACGCCTGTAATCCCAGCACTTGGGAGGCAGAGGCAAGTGGATCTCTGTGAGTTCAAGGCCAGCCTGGTCTACAGAGCAAGTCCAAGACAGCCAAGGCTACACAGAGAAACTCTGTCTCAATAAACAAAACAAAGAAAGAAAAGCAGAAAGGTGAGGCAGAAAGGAAAAAAAATTACACAGGATAAACATTATTTTAGAGTTCTGAACTCAGAGTAAGAGAAAATAATATGAGAACCACAGCACGTGGTAAACGTACAACAAGCTACAGTTTTCTAATCAATTTTGTCTCTAGTTCCAACAGATGAAGGTCATCATGGATCCACAACATTTTACATTTCTGTTAAAAGACTCTGGACAATATCATTTTTAGTTTCACGTCAACTTACCGAGACAGGCATATAGACCCTGACTTATCCAAGCTAATATGGCAAGAGTTATCAGATCACCAAAACTAGCAGCAATGGGCGTGGCCACGTTGTCAGGGTTTATGCCCGTCTTCTTTGAGCCCACAATGACTCCAACCATTATTATTCCTAGGAGAAAGAACGATCGTTACTTTCGATGCTGACTCAGAAAATCCATTCCCCAAATACCAAAATACACAGCATGGATAAACAGCACACCAGTTCCAGTTAGAATGCTCGAATCAACTGATTAAGCAAACAAAACATTTAAGTGTAACTGCTTTGGCAAAATGCCCTTCAGCAAACTGCAAGGGATCACAGTGTTGCATTTACTGTAAAATCCAGTTAAAGTTAAAAATTTGAATTTAATGAGGCATATGCATTGTATGTAATACATATATATTGAAGAGCTTCATTTTTAACCCTTAAAGTATGAAAACGCTAGAGAGTTCTATTTGTGTGCAGAGTAACAAATGTGCCAAATATGGTAACTAAAAATGCTTCGTCACATCGTCTAAAACAAAGTATCAGGAAGCAGGGCATAATTAAAATTTGAAAGCTAGGGTTCAGAAAAAATACCTAGAAAAGACACTCTTAGGAGATGATTTGTTTGATGGTGAAGAGCACTTACTATTCGAACCCAGGGGACCTGGGTTCGATTCTCTGCACCTACCTGACAGTGTGGTGCACAGACATACAAACCAGCAAAATATATACTCACACATCAAATAAAATAAGAACCAAAAAGAAAAAAGAAAGAAAAGGGAAAACGGCAAGAATATGTTTCAAAAAAAAAAAAAAAAGTAATAGTCTTTGGAGGGTAGAGAGGTGGTTCAGTCAGTAAGTGCACTGGCTGCTCTTGCTGAAGACCTGGTTTGGTTCCCAGCACCCGCGTGGTGACTTACAACCATAATAACTCAAGTTTCTGGGGAGACACCTTCTTTTGGCCTCCAAGGGCACCAGGCACAGACAAAACATTCACACATAAAATAAAAATAACTAAGGCTTGAAAAAACTAAAAAGGGCGGGGGATGGTGGCATATGTCATTAATCCAAGAACTTGAAGGAAAGGCAGAAGCCAGCAGATATCTATGAGTTCAGGGTCAGCTGGTCTACACACGCTAGCTGGGAATATATGACCAGATCATACATCAAAAACTAACAGAAAGTTTAAAAAACACTCTTTGTGTGTGTGTGTGTGACACAGGCTCTCATGCATGTCCTGGAACTTGCTATGTAGACCAGACTGGCCTTGAACTCACAGAAATCTGCTTGCCCACCACCTCTCAGTGGTGGGACTGAAGGCATCAGCTACCATACCCAGCTTAGAAGATACTCTTGGCTCAAGTTCCTGTCTCTAAACCTACAAGAGACAAAAATGTGGCTAAGTGCTTACACTTTCAGATCTTTATTTTCTTGAATCATACAAATGGAAAAAAGATAACATCTATCTTCATAACCAAGAGTATAAGAAAAGATGAAAATGAAAGAACATCATACAAAGAAATGGAAAATGTGTAGTTTCTATGGTAACCATGCATCATTCTGAAACATAAGCATGATTATGGGAAGAAATAAACAGCATCTCAGCACAGCACACTTTCTGAGTACAAATGGCTGTAATGTTTTATTCTGGCATGCTAGCTTTATAGGTTCTAGGGAGTAGGGTTTAAATTCTTGCCAAAGGCTACACAGTTTATGATTCTGGGCCAGAACACAACTCCGTAGCTTATAAAACCAAACCAGCAAGCAGCAGAATGTGTGTCTTGTATGACATGATACTTTGCAATCTTATACACCAGGAGGCTTTCTCCTCACCAGGGCCACTCTTTTCAGAATGCATTCGAAAGGGGAAAAGGGCGGAGTGTGGGGACAGGGCGAGGAAATGTTTCTCTAACCATGATGAGATGAGATTCTACAGAAACCTCCCCCAGATCAGCACCTTCACAGACCCACATGGGAGATTCTTCTCAGGCCATGCCACTTCCAACCTTGCAGCTGTGCCCACAGCCCCGACTGTACTGCTGCTGAGGAGGCGAAGTTCCCTCACCTGTGAAGTGTGGTTTACAGTACCTACCGCACATGTTAAGATGGTTAAGTATCAAGCTATCACAGTAAAGTAAGTAAAGCACAGTAATGTGCACTTAAAAATCTAAGTCTTGGGCTAAGGAGGTTAAGAGCACTGGCTGTTCTTCCAGAGATACTGAGTTCAATTCCCAGTAACCACATGGTGGCTCATATCCTTCTGAAATGAGATCTGGTGCCTTTTTCTGGCATGCAGGTGTACATGCAGACAGAACATTGTATACATAATAAATAGGATAAACATACTAAAATCTATAGTCCTAAAGAAGCTAAACAACAAGGAGGACCCTAGGGAAGATGCTTAATCCTCATTCAGAAGGGCAAACAGGATCGGAAGTAGGAAAAAGACAAGGAACAGGACAGGAGTCTTCCACAAAGGACCTCTGAAAGATTCTACCCACCAGGGTATCAAAGGAGATACTAAGACTCATGGCCAAACTTTGGGCAGAGTGCCAGAATCCTTATGGAAGAAGAGGGAAATAGAAAGACCTGGAGGGGACGGGAACTCCACAAGGAGAACAACAGAGTCAAAAAACGTGGGCTCAGGGGTCCTGCGGAGACTGATACTCCAACCAAGGACCATCCATGGAGAGGACCTAGACCCCCTGTTCAGAGGAAGCCAATAGGCTGCTCAGTTTCCAAGCAGGTTTCCTAGTAAGGGTAAAGGGGCTGTCTCTGAAATGAACTCAGTGGCTGGCTCTTTGATCACCTTCTCTGGTGTGTGTTTTGGGTGGGGGGTACAGCTTTGCCAGGCCACAGAGGAAGATGATGCAGATAGCCTTAAAGAGACCTGATAGGCAAAGGTCTCAAAAGAAGAGGAGTAGGTCCTCCCTATCAGGGGACTAGGGAAAGGGCATAGGGGGAGAAGAAGGAGAGTGGGTGGGACTGGGAGGAGATGAGGGAGGGGACTGCAGCGGGAATACAAAGTGAATAAATTATAATAAATAAATAAATAAAAATTTAAAATATCTGAGACTTTATAGATATTTCACACTTGATATATTGAAAGTTTTTAAGTAACTTCCTAAATGAAACAAAGCCAGAAAAAGGTTTATTATTATTATTACTATTATTATTATTTTGGTTTTTCAAGACAGGGTTTCTCTGTGTAGCCTTGGCCATCATGGAACTCACTATGTAGATCAGGCTGGCCTCAAACTCACAGAGATCTACTTACCCCTGCCTCCCAAGTGCTGGGATTAAAGGCACATGCCACTGCTGCCCAGCTATTATTATTATTATTATTATTATTATTATTATTATTATTATTATTA